AGGATAAAACAAGACCTTGCTCTGACTGAGGTGTTTGTGTTCATGTGATGTCTGAGCAGAGGAACCTGGAAATGGCAACCTGGGCTGATTTTTTGGTCTTTATTCACAAAAAGGGAGAAATAATGGCCAATGAGGAGCAGCTGCTCTTTGAAGAGCTGGCAGGGCCAAGCTTGTGGCAGAGGAGCAGGAGGTGTTTGAAGGGCGGAGGGGGAGCCAAATCCCACCTGCAGGAGTCATGGTTTGGGATGGAAGGGACCTTAAAAACCATCTGATTCCACCAACCTTCCACTGTCCCAGGCTGCTCCAAGCCCTGTCCATCCTGGCCTTGGACACTTCCAGGGATCCAGGGGCAGCCACAGCTTCCCTGCGGAGCCCCAAGCCAGGGTGGCTGGAGAGCAGCAGTTCCTCTGTGCTGCTGGTGGCTGGGACAAAACAAGCTCAATAGTCACAAATCTTGGTGGGGAAGTAGGGAATGAAGCAGGGAAGGCTCCAGGGGCTCACAAAATTGTCAAATTGTCCCAAAATTGCTCTGCTGTTTCCCCTGTCGCAGCCCCTCAGCCCCGGGCTTTGCTGGCTCTGTCCCCAGCGCTGCATGCAGCAAGCTTGTTATTTTTAAAAACAAATTAAATGAGGAGAAGAGCCTCTATCTAGGCCTTGCTCTGGATCCTAATTGCCCTGGCTCCCCAGGGGCCGGGAGAGCCCGGAGAGCGCTGCACAATCGCCGTAATGAGCTATTAATGAAGAGCCCGGCTCCGCCCGGCTCAGAGAGGGACCGGCTGTCCCTGCGGGGACACAGGGGCTGTGCTGCTCCTCTGCAGGATGGCCGGGGGCCAGCAGAGCCAGCCTTGCTCCTGACCTCGGGTCTGCCTGGATTTGCAGGGAATGGCTCATCCAGCTGTGGGGTTTGCTGTGGGGTCACTGGAGCACCCATGGGTGGGGCTGGGGGGCTGCAGGGCTGGCTGATGGACAGGGAAACTGAGCCCAGGGCTGGCTGATGGACAGGGAAACTGAGCCCAGGGCTGGCTGATGGACAGGGAAGGTGAGCCCAGG